CGTGAATGGCTTGGCAGCTATGAGAAACAATGTCCACTGAAAGAGTTGTATCATCCCATAAAAGCCATAAGCCCCCAGCTAAACCCTCAGAATTAACAACAAAGGTTCTGGGGAAGCCGAGAGAAGCAGCTAGATCACGAGCATCATCACCAGCCAGCTTAGTTTCCAAAATCAACATCATAGAAGGATTATGAGTACGTTTTAGATCCATGACACTTCGGTGAAAATTAAGTTTGGCCGCTCCACGGCAATTCCATGAAATGATCTTCATATTCCACTCACAGGGGTTGGATAGACCCAGTAGTATATGGGCTAGCATTGGATCCAATATTGGCCGTGAGGAGGTCTGATCCCTGAATAAGAATCTCGCTAGAGGAAAATGAAAGGGGAGCAGAAGTGCTTCGAAGTCCATCTCTGTTCTCGTGAATAATGAGGGCAGAATTTTGGTCACCAGATGAACTCGCTCCATTTGCCCCCGATAATTGATGGCCATCAAGTGAGGCATGTAAGCTGAACTGGTCACTATTTGGGGGGTTATAGGGTTTGGTTCCTCTTCGGTGTTGAGCCCGTCTTCGGAAGACGCGAGATCCACTGTCTGACAAAGCTCCAACGGATTCAAAGAAACTGTGTGAGGTGGGATGAGATGCAATAGATCCTGTATATCCACCTGCTTGTAAGTTATTATCGGAGCCCTCCAAGCCGCTATTATTTGTGGCATTGTCCAATTCTCGCCTCGTGGTGAGACACCCTCCAACATTCGTTGTAGTGCATATCTCAGGCAAATTTGGTGGTGTTCTCTCACTAGGTAGATCTGGAGGTTTGGGTGAAGGGAGAGAAAACTGTGAGGGTCCATGTGTGACTTGGGAAAGGTTAGGTGAAGTAACAGGGGTAGATTGAAATGGGGGAGTTAAGTGGGGTGGAGCAGACTTTTCCACAATGGAATTATCTGGAGAGAAAGAAAGAGATGAATCAGAAGTAATGGGATTTCCCGAAGGAGTGGACTTCATTAATGTTGGGGATTGGGCTAGGGTGGGTACTGGTCTTTGAGTTAGTTGTTTCTCCTTGGGCTCTGACAGGCCCTGCTCTTTGTTTGGATCTTGGTCTTGTGACATTTTTTTGCTGACCCATTGAAGATTTTTGGCTTTTTGCCCATTATTGCCCATACTTTGACTAGGTCTAGCAGTAGAAAACGTTGGCCTAAATTGATTAGGATCCTGCTCCGCATTAAATGCACTGACTATATTACCGTTGAATTGTTTTGAATGACTACTCTCAGAGCCCGATGCAGGTTTTGGACCAAGTTTTCGGGTCGGAGCTCCAACCTCACGTGAAGTGCTTGGCTTGTTTCTAGATGATGTCTTTTCCGATGAAGGTGCCGGAACAGTGGTTCTTCTCCTGGGTTTGCGACGCTCTACTAGAAGCCAAGGCCCAAAATCCTCCATTTGTTTATGTTCTATATCCATCTAGGTAGGTGAAGCCATATAATCTCCAGAGATATTTGCCCGTGTATTTGGGGGTTTTGCAGTTATGGGCTCTCTGCTATTCAATTGAGAATTTGGTGCAGCATTAGTATCATGAGAATCATTAGTAGAAATTTCAGGACACTGAATGTTACGATGGCCAATTCTTCCACACTTAAAGCATAAAGCACTAATACCCTCATAACTAACTCTCTGACGTTTCCTTCCAATTCGAATTGATTTAATGACTGGCTGCGACAAATCAATTTGCACACAAATACGTGCATATTGGCCTCGCGTATGGTCAGCTGTACGAGCATCAACCCGTAATAGAGTGCCAACTTTGTTACCAATTTTTTGAAGAGTGACTGGATCATAGTGATCAGCAGAAAGATTTGGAAGACGAGCCCAGATAGCAGTCGTTGTGGTGGAGTTTAGAGCAGTAAGGGGATCAAAGTCTGGTTCCCAACGTCTAATTGTGAGATAATAAGGTCCGACAAACCACGACCCGCCGAAAATGACTCTGTTAAGGTCCTCTATCACATGAAACCGAACAAGGAAAAAATCAGAACCCAGATCAATAAAATCCCACTTACCTGTTGGTTTCCATTGAGCTTGAATACGGGGATATATATAATTATATCCCAAGGGTTTTGGATGAAAAGCCTTAATGATAAGGGAATTCATCCAAGGTTCTCTTATGCGCTTCTTTTCAGCCTTAGAAAGCAAGACAATGGGTGTAGGATCATCTGGATCTTCATCCACGTCAGAATCTTCATCCATGTAGCTAGGAGTGGTAGCAAAGGAGACTATTGTTGGATTCTCTTCGAAAAGGAGCTTATCCCGGTATGACAAAGTAGGAGGATTACTGAGCCCTTTTTGGGCAGGAATAGAGCTTGTCGATGACGGAACAGGGTCCGTCATCTGAGCATCCGAGGAAGCCACCAACGTAGATGAAGATTCACCTACTGGAGCCTCACCCATAGTGGAATCTGGTGGAAGATCTGAAGGTTTGATCTTTTTGGTACTGCGAGCCAAAAGATCCAATTCCTGCGGTGAGGAAGTGGAGTTCGAAGATTGCCGGTGCTCAAACAACGAGAGCTTTTCGCGAACATTCATTTTTTTTAAGAGATAATACTATTATACTTTGATTGGCTAAAAAATGCCTTCCCTCCCCTGCACCCAAACATATTATAAAATAAAATTTTAAGATGTGATTTGCTTAAGCTTTTTTATTAGGTGTTAATTTGCTTCAACTTGTAAATATTGGGGGTAGTTTGCATGTTGGGCCCTTTTTCTTTAGAGAGATATCAAATGCTCTTATTAAATGTGGGATAAGAAAAGCTTTTATTAAGTACTCAGTATTAATTGTTTTTAGGTATTCAGTAAATTTTTGAATTTTTTTAAACAAAACTTGATATTCAAAAAATATATTAATTCTTAATTAATCTGAAATTAAGTTAAACTTTATAAGGGAGAAGTTCTTTTAATAAGTTGTCAATCAGATTTGTAAGAGATAAGCCCCAACCTTCCTTTAATCCAATAAAAGCAACGTATTCAAAATAATACATTTTTTAACTCATGCCCTAAGTTAATAATATAATTAATATATTTTTTAATAATTAATTTATATATTAAAAAATAAAAAAATTAATATTAATTTTAAGATTAATATCATGTGTTTTAATTTGATTAGTTAGCTGTTAAAATTAAAATTAAAATTTATTTTTTCATGTAATTTAATGGTAAAAAAATACATTTACAACACAAGTTAGAAAAACTTTCGAATCAATTCTTCATTGCTTTTCTCATCATGTTATCTCATTGTCTCTAATAATCAATAAAAGAAATCGGATTTTGATGATTAAAGATATTATTAAAGACAGAAAGAATGCTATAAATGAGGAGCCAGTTACTGCCACTTTTACGCCCATCAAAGATCATTCACCCAGATGTAGCCTATTTCCGTTTTTCATGTTGAAATTTACATGGCAAACTACGCCGCTTAATCGTTTGGTATTTCAAACGACCTTCTTAGTCACATTCTGATCACATGAATGATCATCAAGTTTGAAAATTGAATAGTGCAACATCAATGAAAATCGAATAGGTAAACCGAAACATAAAAATGGAAAATCAGTTGATGAACCATCTATAATATGCTAGACATTGTTGTGAATTCTTTTCCGGTTGTTGGAGTGGCCTGAAATTTGGGAGAGGAGAAGATGACAAGGCAGGCAATAAAGGAAGAGGTAAGTAGGCTTGTTGAGTTGAGTGAAGTACCTAGGTACTCGCTCATGCTTGCCTTCAAAAATTGAGTTCAAGTCGAGTTCGAGTCAAGTTCAATTATTTATCAAATTTTAAGTAGTTGGCCCTATGCTCAAGTTTATGACTATTCAAGTGAATTTAAGTTTACTTGACCTCGAACTCACTTGAATACTCAAGCAAACTAGTATTTTAGTTTAAATTCAAGTTTCTTTATTGTAATTTTGAATTATTTCCATAACCAATCATTTAACAATAATTTTTTTTTTTTACATTTTCTAGAAATATTTGTTGAAGAATTTACAAAATAGTTAAAGGATTTGGATTTAAATTATAAAAAAGTTGGTTTAAAGCAATTGCACAGAATGCATTTGATAAAATATGATTTTGGTTCAAACCATATAAATATGATTTGAACAGTTTACAATCATAATTTAAAAAAGTACGATTTTGGTTTGAACTACATTTATATGATTCGAACCATTTACGTCAAAAATAAAAGAGAGAATTCTGATAAATTTCTCAAGGAAGAGTGGATAACTTTGGAAGGCAAAAAAACATGTAAGTTGGAATTTAAATCAAACCAAATGACTTTTGGAAGAGTTTTTAATAGACAAACTTAATGGAAATTCAGATATTTTCAATTAATAAATTGAAAAGGAGCGTACGTTCCCAACAGACATCTTCCCCTATAAATATGGAGTTATCTCTTCTTCTTCTTAATCTCTTGAACACAAAACTAAATCCTTACTATTTTCTAAATAAAACAACCCCTTTTTGTACTGTGATTGTTGCAGAAATCCTTATATAAAAACTATTGTTTTGTTGTTTTCCAAAGGACAGTTCAGTGGTTGATCTTGCTAGTGTAAAGGAAAGATCAATAAGGTGCTTCATTGTATCATATAGTCATTTTGGTTTACTTCCTTTTGCATACTAGATCTGGTAGGGGCGAAATTAGTCTAAACAAAAGTGGTATTTGCAACACACCTTGAAGCCAATGATTTGTTTTCTAACCCCCAATTTTCAACAATTGTTAGGCTAATCTTCGAATTTTTTAAGATCATGGCTTATTGGGTAAGTGAGAAGAAACTTGTGTTACAAAATGCATATGAAGCCAGGGAGATTTGACATGCAATTGTGGCAAAAGAAAAAAAAAAAAAGATTTTTGGTGTGATTAACATCATGTGATGGATAATCACTGAGTGATAGTGGGTAGATCAATGATCGGATATAAAATCAATCATAAGCAATTGTGTGATCAATCGATGATCAATTAGTGATGATGGATTAATCAATCACTGGATGCAAAAGCAATATAGAGGACAAAAGATTCCACTTGATTCCCATTTATGATAACAAACAAAGTGTTGATGTTTTAATGGAGGATGCTACACACTAGACAATAAAGCAAGGAAATCAATTTTCATGAAAGATGAAACAATGGAGACATGATTCTGTTCATCAAGGAAGCAATTGAAATTTCATAGTTTGAAGAGGATATGAAATGGAGATGAATCGGGATTCATTGCAATATTGAAATAGGTAGGAAAACTAAGAAAATGATAAAATAAAATAGGTTAAATCCCCATTTTGGTTCCTAAACTATTGTACGGACTCCCAATTTGGTCCCTAAACTAAAGAAATCCCTAATTTGGTCCTTAAACTATTGTACGAACCCTCGATTTGGTCCCCACTATTTATAATTTGGCCTAAGTTGGTCCTTGAACTATTGTACGGACCCCCAATTTGGTCCTTACTGTTTACAATTTCACCCCAATTTGGTCCCTGAGCTATTGTTTAACAGAAGGACCAAGTTGGGGTTAAATTGGTAAACAGTAGGGACCAAATTGGGCATCCGTACAATAGTTCAAGGACCAAATTAGGGATTTCTTTAGTTCAGGGACCAAATCGGGGGTCCGTACAATAGTTCAGGGACCAAAATAGGGGTTTAACCAATAAAATAATACATTTCAAAATTCGTAAGAAATTGAGATTACAATTTCTTAAATCATGAATTTTTCTGAGTTTTAGCACATGCATGTTGTTGATTTTGGTTTGTCTCCACATGATAATTGTTAGGGATTATATAAAAATGTAGTATTAATGTTGAATATAAAATTTGATATCCAATAAAACTGAATGCTTTTAGGAATGAGTATTAAGGTTGTTCATTGCATGGTTATGGGTTGAACAAATAGTATTAAAGTGAACATATAACTATTTTGTAGTGACTACTTAGGAAGCTTTATAGAGTTTAAGTAGTATATCTTACTTCTAGACATGTTTTTATTAAAGTTTGCCCAAAGACTTGTTAGAGGAAATGAGATTTCCTTTACTAAGATTATGTTATAAGCATGTTTATGTATATGATAGTTTAACTAGAATATTCAAGAGTGATTGGATGTTTGATGTATGCAATGGTTTTCACAAGACCAAATATAGCATATGCTATTGGGAAATTTAGTGGATACACAAGTAATCCTAGTTCCTTACATTGGCAAGGAGTATATAGAGTCTTGAAATCTCTCAACTATGCATTATGGAATTTGCTATAATGGTTATCCTTTCGTACTAGAAAGCTTTATGAATGCTAGTTGGATCATGGATTATGAGGATCATAAATCCACAACTGGATGGATTTTCATGCTTGGTGGGGGTGCTGTTTCTTGGGGATCCAAGAAGCAAACTTGCCTAATAAACTCCATCATGGCAATTGAGTTTATTGCCTTAAACTCTGCTTATAAAGAAGGGGAATAGTTAAAAGATTTACTATATGAAATTCCTTTATGGCTAAAGTGATTGTCCTCGATCTCAATACATTGTGATAATGATTGCAAATACTCAATTTATAAATAATACCATACCAAGTGGAAGAGTACTTGGTAATCGTAGAAATAATAAAGAGAAAGTTGAGTTTTACTCTTAATAGGTCCTATAATATATTTATGTTAAAGTGCTTAATGTGGTGGCACTTTTGATGGGATCTACCTATGTGAGTGGAAGTGGTGCCACTTCTAGGAGTTAGGGACTTGACCTTAACAACACTCATGAAAAGGATACATGACACATGACTAGTTTTTGTGTTGGCAATGCTGAATTTTTCTTTTGAAAGCTTGAATTCTTGTGTGTGACGTGCCTACTTAGTCATTTAGAATCATTGGTTTAAAGCATTGGTCTACCATTCACTTCTGACTAACTTGCTAACACATGTTCATTAAGTGAAAGGTTTAAATCATAACATACCTTCATGTATGCATAAGATTTCCAAAACAGTTAATGGGCTATTCTATTTTGAAAATAGTGGGGCAATGTTGAAGAAGTTTCAAAATAGTTCCATGATTTAGGTTCGAATCACAAAAAGTTTGTTTGAAGCAATTGCACAGAATGCATTTGAGAAAGTATGATTTTGATTTGAACCATATAAATATGATTTGATCAGTTTATGTAAAATCATTATGTGAAAAAATACGATTTTGGTTCAAACCGCATTTATATGGTTTGAACCATTTATGTCAGAAATAAAAGATAGAATTCTGATAAATTTCCAAAGGACGAGTGGATAACTTTGGAAGGTAAGAAAACACGTGAGTTGGAATTCAATCAAACCAAATGACTTTTGGAAGAATTTCTAACAAATAAACTTAATGAAAATTCAAATATTTTCAGTTAATAAATTGAAAAAGAGCGTTTGTTCCCAACAAGGATCTTGCCCTTATAAATATGAAGTTATCTCCTCTTCTTCTTGGTCTCTTGAACATAAAAACAAATTCTTACTATTATCTAAATAAACAGCTTATTTTTGTACAATGATTGTTATAGAAATCCCTATACAAAAACTATTGTTTTGTTGCTTTCCAAAAGATAGTTTAATGGTTGATCTTGCTAGTGCAAAGGTAAAATCAACAAGGCGCTTTATTGTATCTGTCACGCCCCAGAACCCAAATCCGAGGCGCGACAGACGCCGTACACTCGTGAAAGGATCCCACAAATGCACCAGGCTCGAAACTTACTGAGTTCTAAATTTCCAATTCAATAATTCAGTTCTAAAACTCAAGTAAAATCTAACTTTTCATTACCAAAATTTACCATTCTAGATATACAGAAGTTTCTGAACAGGTATGGCTATAACCAAGAAAACCCTGTACACAAAAATGGTCATTTCTATTAGCCATATGAGACTAGCGGCTTAACTCCAAAAGATCTAAGTCCCAAATACGCCTAGCCGTCTAGCTCGTCACTCCCCCGGTTCCCTATGTGTCGGGCATCACTACCTGAAATGGTGGACAAGGAAAAACTATGAGATAAACTCAGTAAGTAAAATATGGAGTGCCCGTGAGTAAAACGTTAGCATGCCAGACAAACAGTTCAATAACAAAACATTTCTTGACAAACCATTAATGCAAAAGAAAACTCAGTTCAGTAATCTCATCTATAAGTCATGGCCAGGGTTATAACAACCCACTGGCAGGCGACAGAAATTTGCCAATGTATTCGCCCAGTGGCAGGCGTCAAAATAAACCGGTCATATCAGTAAACATGTCGACATGTGCTAGCGTTACACCCACTAGCGGGGA